AGAGAGAGAGAGAGAGAGAGAGAGAGAGAGAGAGAGAGAGAGAGAGAGAGAGAGAGAGAGAGAGAGAGCGAGAGAGAGAGAGAGAGTGACTGAGCGTAAGCGCGCGAGCGAGAAAGCAAGAGAAATAATAGACGGACAAAAGACTCATTGTGGAGTTTATCAGGTGATTTACTTCCCGTCCGTGGCAATGCGACCCCATTGCACGACTCGACTAACTCCGAATAACCCGTCAATCATTTCGCTCACGATGGGCTGGTTACACGACTCAGCTCAGTCCCTTCCATGATGGGAACAATCAACAATTCTATGAACGCAATTTATTTAGACATTCATTGTGATACTATGGCAGATGGGGTCGTTGTCGTATCAGGTACTACAAATATGTACCCGAGGTAGTTTTAGGTTGTTTAGTATTATGTTTATATTTTTATATGAGATATGTTTAGAGTTTGGGTTATGATTAGGGTTAAGGTTAGGGTTAGGGTTAGTGTTAGGGTTAGGGTACACTTCTGTAGTACAAGTCTGGTACACTATGTGTATACATATATGTACCTCGGGTACATATCTGTAGTACCTGATACGACAATGACTTCTTGAGCGATACTATGAGCTGTTTAGAATCGAGACAGGATATATAATCTGCCATCTGTAATTAAGTAGTTATGCAGAGCTGCTTTGAACTTTCGTGAAAATCTGCCATGCGTGGATTACATGGAGCTGCTATAATCGAAAGAGGATCATAGGTATTAGACGAATTAAGGGGACTGCCTACGCATACGCATACGCATACGCATATGCCTACGCATTTAGGGGGTTTACTGTGGATAACGAGCACACACGCACGCACGCACGCGCGCGCACGCACGCACAAATGATTTAATCGCGTGTAATAATAGATGTGCAATGCGGCGATACGCTGCTGTGGTGACAGATGCCCCATATTGCCCGAAACACAGCGGAATTATGACACAGAATTTTTCACAGCGCACGAACGAGTGAGTTCGTGGAACGTACGCGAGTGACCGATAATAATAAATACAACATACGGAAAGAGAGAGAGAGAGAGAGAGAGAGAGAGAGAAGAGAAGAAGAAGAAGAGAGAGAGAGAGAGAGAGAGAGAGAGAGAGAGAGAGAGAGAGAGAGAGAGAGAGAGAGAGAGAGAGAGAGAGAGAGAGAGAGAGAGAGAGAGAGAGAGA